AACAGAATCAGGTTTGAAAATTCCTACTGTCACATCGTATAGTGTATTGGAGATAAAATTGAAGTATGACACAGTTTCTGATGTGAAAATATGATACGATTCAGGTACACGACGAATAGGATACCTGTATGTGGGATTTTATGTGACACACAAATTGTATAATTCAAAATGCAGTCGAGAGAAAGGATAAGATAGATTTATAGTAGCGACGAGGGTTATTAGCGACTAGATTAGGTTTCATGTTCCATTGGATAGTTACAGAGTGATTAGTTTTTAGGGATGGTTTTATTAGTTTTGCATTAGACAATGAAACGAAAATCGATAGTAGGTAGGATCTCCAATTACACTTTATAGAGTAATAAATATCTCTTTCACTAATTTATTTATTAAGGATTCGCTTAATTATTTATTTAATATTATCCTCTTTTATGTTCGTAATTATGTTCATTTGTGTTCATTTTATATTCTAATTTTCGTAAATCTCTTTCAATTTAAATTTTATAATTCTATGATAAATTATTCTTTGGCTCTTCATGGATTCCAACAGTATAAAGAAAGACTACAATAATTATATAGATGATATAATATGGGCAACTTCTCGGCAAATCATCTAACAACCTAATTACGTTCTAATATCTTCTGCTTAGATAACGTTACTGAACTCACGTGCTAATAACAACTCCGAAAACAGAGACAAAATATTCACAATAAACAACGAAAATTATTGAAACAGAAGTGAAACAAGCATTCCAACGAATTTGTAGAATACATCTTTTAATGATGATACATGAACATTCTTTCAGGTTAACTGTTGACCCAATGATCCACGCTGGTGATAAGCAAATAGCTACAATTTGAACGGATTTGTGATCAGAGTGAATGGTTCCATCTAATAGAAATTAACCATAACCGATCATTTTCTGTAATGATACACCATGAAAATTGTCGTCCTACGGGGAAACTAAATTACATCTGTTGGTAGTTTAAAATGATAACATTGAAGAAAGCGACCATCAGAGGAATTTTCATACTCGATAATATACAAGTATACTACCGTTCAAAAATATATGTATCTGTACAGTATATTTATCTTCCGTGAGATGTAATTTAATTGCAAAATTATAGATCATTTTATTCTTCATTTTTGCGATGGATATTATTTGGTAGAATATTTATTATGTAGCAAAATTGTTTGGAATTATTATTTAGATTAATCACTAAAGTGAATTGTGCGAATTTCATATTATTTAGGATAATTATATTATTTAATAAAATTATTTATTATCGTTTAGTAAAATTATTCAGGATTTTATTACGTGTTTCATTATTTTATTACATTACATAGATTATTAATTTTAGAGAATGATTTCTATTCCATGATAAATAATTTAGATGTATTAAAATATAAACAAATGATTTACAATTACAATTTATTAATATTATTTTTAATTCATTTATCGTGAACAATAGATTCATTCTAATTCTGACTGTGAAAATAATGAACAAAGATAAAAGTGATTAATAAATTTAAAAATATATTCTTCGCGATTTGTTATATCATACTCCCTTCATCGACGCGCCATTTGAATGAAGAATTCCAATTAAAAATTATCCAAGAAGATAGGATAAAGTAATTACTCGATCGCGCACGAACATTTTAATGTAAATACTTGCAAATGTGATAGAAATTTGAAAATAGATACCTCGTTGATTCAGCTTTTATTTGAACGACA